ATCTGAGCGGTGACTGTAGTCATCATGTGAGCAAATTGAAGAGTTAGAAAGACCGTACCTAATACATGAAACGGGGCGACTCCGTCAGCTAAAACGAAGGAAGAATGGGTGCTGTCAATCATCTTATAATGGGGAAATTGTTCTAATAGATGTTTATGAATGAAAGTTGTTGTTGCTCCGGTATCAAGTAGAATTGGCGTAGAAAGTTGATTGACGTAAGCAGTGAAATAGATTAAAGAAGATTTTGATGGGTTTGAAAAAACACGCCCGGAGACAACACCATCTATCGATGTCTCCGGGTCTAGAAACTTGAACAGGCCGAAGCCTCATGTCCAAGTTGATTACAACGACTACAGAGAACGGATGGGAGTTCATTTGATATAAGATCAATGTGATCAATTGATTGAGCTAGATCAATAACATTAACAGTAGGTTGCCGAAGGGGCATTGTGTTGTTAGCATTGGAATGGGTCATAAGAGGGCGAGGAGGATTACTAGTAGTAGATATAGGAACCAAATTACGCGGCAGAGACTGTTGTGAAAAAATGGGGTTGGGAGTCGACCGACTTTGGGATGCTGGAACCGATGAGTTAGAAAGATTTCTCGATTGAGAAGGAAAATTCCGTTGTTGAGGAGAAAAATTTCGACGGGTCGAGCCTTGATTTCTATTATTAGAGTTACGAGAACTTGTGTACCCATAGTTATGTTGGGAAGCAGAATACGAAGGAACGATAGATGTAGATGTAGATTGCGCGAACGAATCATGCGGTACGCCAAGAGCACTAGGAAAAGGTAAATTTGATAATTGCATGAGCTCTTCAGCTTCTTTAGCAAACTCAAGAAATTCGCTTGTTGACTGAGGTTTTTTCTTGCGCACCTCATATTGAATAGAAGGCTTAGTTTTATTTAACAGATTTTTTAGTTTCGTAGCCTCACTCATGGTAGGGTCGGCTTCTTTACAAAGCTTCAATACTTCATTGACAAAGTTACGAATCGATTGATTTTCTGTTTGAGAATATGACTCTAACTTTTTGAAAGCGAGTTCTTCATGAAAAGATGAAGTAAATGCTCGTTTCAGTTCTGTAACAAAAAGAGTCCAAGAAGTAAATGATGAACGATTGTTCTTAAACCAATCTAATGCATCACCGCGCAAGGAATAAGAAATTAGNTCGAACCTTGATTTCTATTATTAGAGTTACGAGAACTTGTATACCCATAGTTATGTTGGGAAGCAGAATACGAAGGAACAATAGATGTAGATGTAGATGGCGAGAACGAATCATGCGGTACGCCAAGAGCACTAGGAAAAGGTAAATTTGATAATTGCATAAGCTCTTCAGCTTCCTTCGCAAACTCAAGAAATTCGCTGGTTGACTGAGGTTTTTTCTTGTGCACCTCATATTGAATAGAAGGCTTAGTTTTATTTAACAGATTTTTTAGTTTCGTAGCCTCGCTCATGGTTGGGTCAGCTTCTTTACAAAGCTTCAATACTTCATTGACAAAGTTACGAATCGATTGAGTTTCTGTTTGAGAATATAACTCCAACTTTTTGAAAGCAAATTCTTCATGAAAAGATGAAGTAAATGCTCGTTTCAGCTCTGTAACAAAAAGAGTCCACGAAGTAAATGAAGAACGATTATTCTTAAACCAATCTAATGCATCACCGCGCAAGGAATAAGAAATTAGATCCAAACGAATAGATTCGGGTAAGTGTGCTAAGTCAAAGAGGTGTTCGATGTTTTCGATCCATTTCTTAACGTCGTCTTTACCGCCTTTGAACACCTTAGGATTTTTGATGAAATCTCCTACAATAGCTTTGCGAAGATCAGTCAGAGTTTGATCAAGTTCAAAATTAGAAGAAGCTTGAGAAGAAATAGTGGAATTTATAGCTGATTTGCTGTGAATAGGAGCGGCAACATCACTTTTGACTACTGAAGTAGTTACCGAAGAAAATAATGGATCGAAAGTGTCCGACATAAAGTCAGTTGAAAGTTGTTTATGAGGTGAGGTAATAGATGTATGACTATTCTTTTCTGGCAAAGTATCATTCGTGAATCGAACATGATGAGTAGCAGTTGATGAGGAGGAAATAGATGAAGAATCGAATTCCGTTAGCATAAATGCGTAGAAATCATCAAAGGATCTTATTGATGCTCGACATCGAATGTAACGTCTTTTAGCTTCGCTTGCCACTAAAAAGGATATGGCAGCAAATCGAGCGTGTCGACCTATATCAAACTTTTTGAATTTTTCTTCAGTGTCATCAAGCCATTGAATGACATCTTCGCGACCGGTATACTGAGTGAAATCTTTTAATATAAAAACATCAAAGGAATCCTCTACGATTTGTTGATCATCATTAGAATAGGACTTTTCGTTAACATCATCAAGTTTCAAATTAGCGAATCGACTTGCTAGATTACTTTGTGGAGAACAATCATGTTTACTCGAGTGCTCCTGTGTGCTAGATAAAGAGCTACCTTGATCTAATGGAATTAGAGTCTCGTCTGCGGAAGAATTGTTACTTTCAAATTCCTTTGTTTGTTGAATTATCGTAGGTAGCAGTGTTAATCTCCCTATTTTGGAAACTTTATGTGATACATCATCATCGATGTTCTGTGTAGATGAAAAAGCTGGATGAACATTAAATTGTTCCGAATCGAGTGAGTCACGTGCTTCTGAAGCAAAATCTGATGTGCCGTGCTGCGGTTCTGTCATCGTGTAGATATGTAAGTATATGTACAGTAAAACCCATCTACAGTGAACACTCGTGGGACTTTTCAAAATCGTTCACATTGACGGGGTGATCAGTTAGGAGGAGTTATAGGCAGACCAAGTGTCTTTTACATAAATCATACGTTAAGTTATTTGTATTCGCTAATAGAAATGTATCGAGATAAGATTTATTTTATTCATTGATAACATGAGAAAAAAAGATTATAAAATCCTAGGATTTGATGCTATGGACCAACAGATGTACACTTGAAGTAATCGAAGATTGGTTTTTGCTTTGATAAATTTGAGTCAAGGAATGTGTCAGTTAGTTTTGATTAGCTTCATTTTTTCGTCCGCACAAAGTTCTCGACGCGATGCCATCAGTAACAGTTCATAATCAACAAACAAAGACCACAAAATCGAATGTTATACGTATCTGATATGCTCTCNATTCTAATAGCTTTTTACGCAATATTGGATCTTCGATTGCTTTGCCTTTACACGTATCTTGAGCAACACATACCATCAGCGGATCACCCATTTGTGTTGCATTGTGAATAGCAGCCTTGTTATTTATTTGTGTGCGAACTTCGTTTCGGAACACGAGAATAGGAGCCTAAAAAAGATAAAAATAGTTCTTTCTTTGTGTGAAAAAAGTTTATTTACTTTGTTCCATGGCGAATCATGTAGAGATTCTATTGTTGGTTGTCCAACAACTCGTGTCTGCAATAATTCATAATCGTCATAATTGCATTGTCCATGACGAAGCCGATCGAGTAATTGAAGATATCGTAAATCTTCTGTTCGCATCTGTTGTGTAAGTTTTACCACACAATTCATTTGAAGAATTAAAGAACGTGAAACACGTTGTTGAATTTCTTTTTCAGATGGTATTTTTCCTTGTTTCTTTTTTGATGATGAAAAAACAGTATGCAATGGTGAATCATAGACTGGGCGATATTGTAAACAATCACCAAAGAAGATGACGTTCACACCACCAAATGGAACTTGTGGATCGACATGTTTGGCAGAACACATAATTCTATTGAGCTTCCCTAATAAAGTTAAGCCAACCATACTCATTTCATCAATTAACAGATATTCAACAGGTCTCCATTCGTTTTCAAGTTTGGAGTCACCTGGCTTGCCCAAGCAGTCAAAAAATTGGAAAAACGCGTTTAAACGCTCTTAGCTTCTTCATCGTTTGAGACCCTCAGTTGAGGTTCCCAACTGTTGACCAGAAACGAACAAAACTCAGGAGAGTGTGTGGCACAAATACTTTATGGTATAACATTTCCTAGTCAAATGCACGTTTAACATTATAGGTCGAACACCCAATTGGAAAATTTTCCGGTTTACTTGCCGTTCTTTCACAGATGTGCTCTATACTCAGTTGAGAACCTTATCTACCACGTGTAGACGTCTCTGAAAAATCATACAAAGCAACGCTTTCAATTTTTCTGTATAACAAAATCCATACGTTTATGCTTCTGCAAATTATAACCATGTCTTCCATACCTATTTCGAAACGTATCTAAACTGCATTCGGGAACCTAAAATAATACGTTCAAACGCTTCCAAAATTGAAACCACCACACCCTTTCCATTTTAGCATGTAATGATAAAAATGTGCGCACACAACTGCAAATCTCTCTCGTGTGTTGAACAAATATCATCACACGTTTTACAAATGCAGTCGGGAACCAAAAATAACATGTGCCAACGCCATCAAATATGTCACTCGAAAATGCTTTCAATCTTTCTCGCCATCAATATCACATCATTCAGACACACCTAACTCCAAACTGCGCACACGTCAACTATTTTGGCGAGTACTCACACTTCACTCGAGAACATCGAGTGACATGTGCGCACGGCGCTAAAACAAGCACGCAAAAGTAGGATTGATTTCCCATCTATCCAAACTTCGTAAAAAACTCGTAAGCAACATGCCTACTTTCCCAAAAACAACATCACCCGAGCAATTCCTGTCAAACAAACCAATCAGAGCCAACACCAACAAAACCACCAGCAAATAACCGACTACCTACTCAGCTATTCTATTTAACATCATCATTAACACACTTACCATGATACAATATCGACAACATCACGATAACCGCTAGAAAATGTTAAAATCAAACCCACACCTGTCCCACATTCCGCAAAAAGACGATTCTAAAGCAGAAACTATTCCAACGAAATAGTTCAAACAATTGATCATCATATCTGTGCTGCGGAGAGCGGAGAAAAACGATTGTAAAGTGGAAAGTAGTCCAAAGCGAGTCGTTAAAGGATGGCCTTTTTCTTATGCAAAAGCGCCTGATGATTGTGATGGTTAGCAAAGGGATACGAAGAAATGTGATATAATGATGTATAATGGTTTTGCTTCTTTTGAAGAGCGGCTTTGTTGTTTAGTGTGGCTGTATATAGTTTACATCGGATAGTTGTGGGTGGGCGAAATGTGGATATATATCGAAAAGTTGATAGGTAGAAAAGAAATGCTTTTGACAATAGAGGTCAGTGAATAATTTGTTATTGGTCGCTCGTATCGTATGATTAAGGATTGCGATGTAAGTTAGTTGTAAAATGGCGGCATTGGATTTGGCCGGCAGCTAGAATAGAATGTTTTCAATGGAATTTACGTGACGTCTGAACATCATAAACGGACAAGAAAGAAGTCGAAATTATCGTTGTGGACGATCGAAATGAACAAGGAGATCTTTATTTGGACTTTGTGTGGAAGAAATATTCATGATAGTCCGTATTGATTGTGAAGAAAAGGTTCTGAGTGCATTTTACCGGCCGAAATGGAATATACCATCTTTGTCTGCCTTTGTTTTGATTCGATGTTTATATAGTGCGGTGTGCGGGCTCTCTACACTTCATTTTGCGTGATATTTGCTGGGTATAGTTTGCTTTGTTTGGTAACATATGTAACAAGTATTTTTACTGTTTAGGGAATTGTTTACTGATCTTCTTCAACGTGATTTCTACTTTAGTGGCCTTTCGATTATAGTATCTATTATTTTATTAATTACTTATTCATTACGCACTTTCTTCATGAAGCGATCAACTTCTTGTATGAATAACAGCCGAGATGCAATGGCACCTCGACTTAAGCGCACACGTTCAAGGACGCCAATAGTAGAGGGGAAGGAAAATATGGATGAGAGTCATATTGGATTGACAACGAAGAAGAAATTGCAGAAGAATGCCTGCGCTCAGAACAAAGGGGAAATCGTACAGTGATGAAAACATTCCTGAGTTCGAATCGGCTAGTACGCCGTCAAGATCCACGATTTCTGTGTCTTTACCATCGATATCGAAAAAGTCATCGTTATCGAACAGCAAACATCGGCGAAATTTGGTTGACACGGAATCGTCTTCTTACTCGCAACAACCTGTTCCTGTATCAGGCCTTCATTCGGGGAATAACTCTATGGTTTCTCACGCAAGGTGAGCTATCCTTAAGGTCACTGATGGAAAGTAGTTCTACATACCTTGCTATTTAGTTCGTCGAAAAATGCTGTCGTGAATAGTAATAAGAAGTAGGTGTAGCTGGATGTATCGTTGTTCGATTTCTTTTTTTCTTGTAAATAGACTGAACATTTCATCTGTGAACAAAAGTAAAAATACTGCGAAAGATCGATTATCAACACGTGCTAGCACACAGTTAGTATTATCGACGATTTTTACTCAACGAATTTATGCTTTCTCCTAGGCCTTTTACAACGTCGTCCTCCTCTAGAATCGGAGACACAAGTATTAGTACACAAAAGTATGTTGAATCGATTCTTTCTTCATAACACCATAGTTATCGTTTTGTATTGATATTATATGTAGTTCGACGCCGCATTGTATGTCACAAGCACCACTATCAGCAACCACAAACACATTCAGCACACCAAAACGAAACCATTCGATAAACTCCTTAGTAGAATCAACCGTTGAGTACAGAGAACTTAAACGATTGTATTTAACCGAGAAGAAATTATGCCAGGAATGGCGAAAAGATTACCAAATCTTGAAACGACAATTAGCTGATCTACGTGCTAGTACAATCCGTAAGTCTAACGGTGATTTATTGCCTAGATAGTAGACGCATTGTTCATTTGAACCCAATTAATCAATGAACCGCATTTTTAATGAAATCTGAATTTTTCTTAGTCAAATTCAAATCGTTCAGTTGAGATATTTTTGGAGAAAATAGCTTGACAGTTATCTAACTTGACCTATGAATACCACTAATTCATTAGATAAGCAGGAAAATTTGGTTCGCTTCCAAACGATGCAACTCGTCCTTGCGTCTAAGACATCGTAATTCTGAAGACAGCCTTTTTTATGTAGAATGACACAGTAAGCGAATGCCGTCGAATAGCTCATTCTTTCAGTACGCAAGAGGAGATCGAAGAACGATGTGATAGGTTTTCAAATCCATGTATTTTGAGTTTAGGAAATAATGTAAACTAGAGCAGACTTGTACGCACAGTCTATTCATTAGATAAAAAGTTTATTTGTGAGATTGTGCATGTTGTTCCTATTAAGTCAATGTCGATACATTATGGATTGCTTTTCATTTAGCACGACCATCTACCGACGTCATTGAATGGATTCAGGAATTGTTTGATATAATCAATAATAACGGTCTATTCAAAGGAGATGGAAGATCATTAGAAAAGATTGCTGAAGATCTTGGATTGGACGAAACTGCTATTGTACTTGTTGCTGCTCGTACTCCTCAGCGCTCTTCACTGAAACTATTTCGATTGTTGTATCCAACCACTACAGCTCGAGCGAAGTGTATATCAATTTCTAAACTTCCACAGTCATTGTTGAACAATATATATCGTAAGTTTCTTTCCGTTTCCATTGATTGAAGCTCGTTTGCTGTCTTAGTATACGTTCGGACGCTACACAACAATCTGGCATTTACAATGAGTGATATGCGACGCGCTATTGCTACTTCTATCCGAAGTGCTAGATGCGACATGCGGAGATACGAACGTTATCGCGATCCACAATTGAATTCTTCGGCGAATGAAAACACGACCGACGACAGTATTGAACATCATGATGATACATGCGAAGAGAATGATCTTGACGGAGGAGGTGATGTCGATGAGGAACTTGATCTCGACGAAGATAATGATCTCGACGAAGATAATGATCTCGATGAACCATGCGAACCGAACGAAGAAGACGACGTTGATGACAATGATGAAGAAGACCGACGTACACGCAGTCTATTCATAGATGATGAAGCCTCCGAGAACGAGGATCAATGATTCGATGGTGTATAGTGCAATATGTGCCAATGCGAGTATAGACTTGTTCAAATTATCTTCCTGAAAAGTTCTTCTATTGATGCTTTGTTTCTTTAAACATTTACCTTATCACATTTGTAGTTTTCAAAGTTGACTCTCTAGTTAATCGAACGATGTCTGTGTTAGATCCACTCTGATACGTTTTTTTCATTTGTCATTTCTGCGAATATTTAATACTAACAACATAAAACAATCGAATTAGAAAAAGATTTGACCTTCGGATATTTTTTCTTGAATAAATGAACGTTTATTGACCTTTGTGAAAGTTTAATAGAGAAGAAACATACGATGCTTAGAAAGCAATGTACGATGCTATCAGTCAGACTGTTTAATACTCCAATAGGCAAGGTATATTCCGTTCAATGTGAATAGCGTACGATAGTATCTTAAACTAAAACCAATGCGATAAGAGGAAAACTAAAACGAACATTTCAGCTAGAATATTGAACTCAACATTTGAAAAGTATGTTGATAGCTGTACATGTGTATAATATTACTTTCAGATTATAGAAATGTATCATGGGCATAGCAATGATTTTCCAATGCGTTCTAATAAAAAGATTATTCGACGATTGAGAAATGCTAAAGATCGTATCGTTCGTAACAATCTGTTATCTTCAACATCTCCTGCTGAATCTGCCGATGCTGAGTAAGTATATATAGTTAATATTTTTGCTTCTTATATGAGATGGTTGTAAAAATGGTTAAGGATGATAAATAGAGAGTCTGATGATCAAAATGATGACACTGTTGAATTAATGAACGTGGATGGACAAGACGAGGAAGCTCAATTTGATTCGACTTTGTTGGAAGATCCTACAGACGACACACCAATCGTTAATACAGATTTGACCAGTGGCGAGGAAATTGAAGAATATACCGAAACTGATACTGAGAACTACGCTGTTCGTAGTTCTCAGCCAAGTACGAAAGAAATCTCAACTATCCTTGCACTTTTTCGTCAAAGGTATAGATTATCTAAAGCATGCATCAATGAATTGTGTAGTTTATTACGGCATCTTGGTGTGCACAACGTTCCAACTGATTTTCGTTCCATTGAGAAAAATCTTACAAAAGATCATGAAAATACTTTACATGCAAAAGCATGTATCGTGTGTACATCATGTGGTAGTAGAGGATCTAGTGTAGAAAAGTGTGAAAATGTGAAATGTAACTCAAAGAACAACTTCGTATCAACCCCAACAAAACTATACACTTTTCGAATTCTTCCACAAATAACATCAATCTTAGAACGAAATCGACTTATATCCGAACCGAATACAAGTGATCATTCAAAGATTGCTGATGTTATTGAAGGTCAATTTCTGCGCAATATTCATTCGAAAGAACGATTTATTGAATCGCAACGACAAATAGTATCGCTTTTGATAAATAGTGATGGAGTTTTGATTAAAAGGTTCAATCGATCGGTGTGGGCAATTTGTATGATAATTAATGAATTACCACGAAATGTTAGATTCAATTTAGATAACTTAATCATTTGTTCGCTGTCAATGGGTGGTCAGAAACCAAAAAAGCATCATTTTCAGGATTTGATAGGCGAGTGGGTGCATGAATTGCGACAACTAGAACTGGGATTTTATATTTTACCTAATTATTCTCAACACACTTTTATTAAATTCCACGCATATTTAATTGCTGCAGCGATGGACAAACCGGCGCAGTCATTACTTATGAACATTAATGAATGTACAGGTTATTACAGTTGCGTCCGATGCACCATCAAAGGTAACATTGTACTGAAAACTACGATTAAAACAGAAGAATGTGAAATGAACTTCGAGGCTAATATATATTTTCCTGAGTAACCTTTGAAACTGAATGTTTCTTACATTTCATAATAATCAAAGATAGAGTTATTTTGTTTGAAACTTCAAAATGTAAGAATCACGTCAGCTATTGACAAAGCATGACTACATATTGAATCGAGCTAGTCGGTGCTAATGGAAACAAATAACTGATTCGATTTACATTTTTTATAATCACAATGATACGATTATCTTAAGGACGATCTGAAATGATTAACTGTAAACGCATAGTAAGAAGACTCTATATGGCGGTTAAAATAAACTTTGTATTCATTCAATTCGCATGATGAATCTATGAAGTTGCTGCATACTTGTGATTTCTGAGACCATTGGTTTTAGGCAAGTCAGTCGCAAGTGGAAATGGCACGATACGTGCATTTATCAAAGATAAGAAGGAAAAAGTGCAAATTCGAGATAATAATTTGTATGACAAATGTATTCATATATTTACTCGCGTAAATACAGTTTTTTCCCCAAGTATGAAAAATACGATCGTTTTGATCATTTAGAGAAAAACAAAATTAAAATCAGGTGATCTTGATGTTACTTGTGGAACTCGTGGACACTGTGCTTTGCGTGCTCTGACCTATTTCAATATTGGTCCATCGTTTGTCACGGATTCTCTTCATAATATCTACTCCGGAGCATTTGTAAGAACTTATTTCTATATAACTGGCTTTTATTTAGAGTACATTGAACATCATTGTTTTACCTCGGGCGTTCGCAATATTTTAGAGATAAAATCATAAAAGAAAAACAAAGAACGTTGGCTTTTAGTGATCCAAAATATTGCATCTCAATAACGATGAGAAGACAAGAACGAAACGTGATATTCTTTCTTTTGATAGTCGTCTCAAACCTGTTCATCTAGAATTTATTTGATTGAAATATTCTTTTAGCTTACATGTATTTATGGGTATTCTCCTAGTCTGTAATCTGTGGTTGAGTTAATAAATTACTTGCACAACGTTTTGAAACAGCTTCCGTAACGTGCTACATTGCTATGTTTTAACTTAACTGTCTTTACCTTACAAAAATCTGCGCTGAGTAATGGAACTGGTCTCATCAGAGTTTCTTAGTAAAAAGATCATTTATTCTACGAGAATAGCATAGTGCTCTGCGTTTCAATTGAAGTTATACTGTATAATACAAAACAATGTTCTTTTACGAATGGCTCATCGGATGAGCCTCATCCGCATAACGTAAAATGTCTATCCTATTCCTTTGGAACTTATTGCTCAAGAAGTACTTTGAACTTCGAAGAAAATAAAGCAATATCGCTGTTTTTTTTATAACTTATTTATTGAACTTAGAATTCATTGTTTATCCTGCTGTTTTTCACTAGAAACGATTATTAGACATATGGTTCAAAAGTCGTGGTGATTTGTATTCAATACATAAAAGTTTGCATGTTGTTGAAGCTCAATTGGATGGCATTCGTTATCCTTCATCAACCTACCATCTGCCATCTCAACTTAGATTCTTTACACGATTCAAAGGCAACGAATATCGCATGACATTATTATTTGGATACCAGTAAGTTCATCGAGAGAAAGAGTGAGTTTATAACTTCTAGGACTCTACGACATGCAAAGTTATGAGTACTCATATTTACTGTTTTTCTTTAACTTTGTCAATGTTTTGTGCAAGTCATCATCTATTTATCTGACTGATACACAAAAGTATATATATTACCCATTCATGAACTAAAAAGAAAAAGAAAGAAGATCAAGAAGATTTTCTTTCACAATAATCTGATAAAAGTGTTTGCTTTTTTAAATAAATTATATCTGTTTCATCTATGAGCGCAACCAAGAAATCGATCGATAGACAGTTAATAAACAGAAATTGAATAGATACGAAACGTTTCAGATGTTCGGTCAACTTACTAAGCATACATTCTTCTTTTTTATCTAGATATTTCAAGTCAGTTCTACCATTACAATATTACAAACATTTGAAAATGCTTGCGTTTGCGATGAACTTAGCAGAATCATCTGCATTAGGGCAAGAAACAATTAAAGACATCGAATTCCTATTGAATGAATTCGAAGAATTATTTCCAATATTGTACTCCGTAAGAAGATCTAATTGTAAATATGTGCATCTGAAAATAAAGCGAGAAAATTGATTTGAATGATTTCAGATTATCAACTCATGTATTACTAGATACGTTTCAAAAGTACACTATTACACTGAAAAAAAATCTGGCGTTTAATCAACCTTCAGTCAAGAGTTTGTCATCACTTATAAGAAACCCGTCATTTTAGGGTTGATGAAGCTGATCAATGGAAAAAGGGTTTATCAGTTTGCAACGTATAACAAACCCTTCGTGGGTTTTTGAAGAAAAAAAGGGTTGATCTAGGGGTAGATCAGGTTGATAAACAAATTATTCAGTCATAAACCCTTTTGGAGGGTTGATTAAACGCCGGATTTTTTTTTCAGTGTAGTGTGTTGTTCAACTGATAGCTATAAGATCTCGAAAAATGACAGTTAAAATGATAGATCAATTGTGATTTACTATTAGAGAATAGTTCTCATAAGTTTTATATTTCAAAGGAAAAATATGTGACATCGGTAATTCATTCGATGGCGCATGTTCATCAGTCCCTCAAAGACTTCGGGCCAGTTCAAAACTACTCTACATTCAATTTCGAAAGTGTCGTGGGTGAGTTTTTAAATCGCAGAAGCACATGCTTTTATCAAAGCAACTTTACTAAGTTTATCACTATAGGTTCTATAATACAGAGTGTTAATGGACCGAACGTTGTAGTCGATGAATTAATCAATAATATTAATATATTACAGTGTGCCACGGCTGAGTTAAAAAAGAATGATTTTAGTAGTTCACTTAGAAATTTTGTTCTTCAAATGTTTTCATCGAAACGGCGTGCATTTTCGATCGAATCATGTACACCCGAAAATGGTTATATTCATTTTGGTCGAGCACTTCAATTATCGAATCATCATAGAATAGTAACTTACTTGAACAGTAAACACACGGTTCCGTCCTCTTTTCACCAAACTTGTTGGAAGAAAAACGTGCGTTTTTCGACTTACAATGATAACTCTACCACTAAGACATCTGATTCGTGTATATTATTCAAAACCGTACAAAGTGAAATTAACTACGGCTTTATCACATGTATCTTTCTTGATGTGAACCGAATATGCTATATGGTTATTCATACAATTAATGCTGATCGTTATGACACTCTTACACATAAGAACAAGACAATTGTGAATCCATTCATATTCTGGGGGCGTGTAACGGATCCGCCTAACCTAGAAATAGTTTCTATGAAAGATGTCCTCGTGAAAATTGCTTTCAGGAAAGAACGAAGTTTTTTTCATTTTTTCCACTTCCCTAATACAGTGGAGAGTACTTAAGTTGATATTATTTTACATTTTATATAACTGAACAATACGTTTGTTTTCGTCATTTTAAAAAACATGATTGAATATTCTCGCACACTGCTTATTTTCACTAGCGCAAATAGCTGTTTATGACGAGTCGATTTCACCATTGCTTTTCAAATGGTATCAGGTTTCGATCTTTTCATATAATTTGCGATTTTTCCTTCCAAGTATATGAGTGAGTATAATATGAGCGACACTGAATAATACGTCAGTTAATTGGGTAAATGCTTTAACGACATGAGAATAGACGAGTATAAAATAGGTGTGCCTTTTTATCGCTATGAAGAATTAAAAAAACTAAAAACACACGTTTCTGAAGATTGCTCTCAATGCCAGATATATAGATTTTGTAATCTTATGATCAAGTACATATGTAGCATAAATTATGGGAAAAGAGTAGAAATTATCTTCACGTGATAGTTTGCATAGTAAAATACGTATGAAGACAAAGCTAAGAAACCGTTTTAAAGGTCTTTTTATTCGAATAGAACAGAGAAAAATAATTACTACCTCTGAAAACGTTGAAAACTCTTCGAAATCCTGCCATTATACGGCGAATATTCCAATTGATAGTGCGAAAGAACTGTTTCTCAGTTCAGCACTCGGTGATCAATATTAGAGGGAAAAGTCTCATTAGTGAAAACGCCTATCGATCTTTGGAATGCTGCGTTCACACGGTATCTTATACAATTAAATATACGAAAAAAACTTTCTTAGCACAGCGCAACCAATGGGAAAAGGAGGACAATGATAATTATTCGTGCGAACCTCAGGAACTCTTCTAACTTCGGCGATTACACGGCGAACGTTTTAACAATGAGTAAGGGCAATAATTTTTGGTTCAGTACATGCGAATAAATATGCGAAGAAAAGGTTTTATCAATGAGAACGCCTATTTATCTCTAAACTGCTACGTTTGCACGGTGAATAGTGCGATTCAGTACACGAAGAAATTCTTCAAACGTAACAAATACATTGAATAGAAGGGTAAAAAAATTATTATTCGCGAAAAAGTCACAAATTCTTCGTATTTCTGCGAGAACACGGCTAAATATTTCAATCAAAAGTCGGAGATGTATTTTCAGTTCAATGTACACCGATCATTATGTAAAAAAAAAGTTCCATCAGTAAAAACGCTTGTTCATCTTTAAGTTCCTGCATTTACACGGCACCAAATGTTAGCTGGGACTTCGCTTAGAATAATTGTTGCTAGATGTAATAAAAAAAATGAGATTTCACCATTGTGAGTACACTCATTTTTGTATTGTTAACACTCTAATACAGATTCGTTGCAAGAAAACGCGTAGAACTTCGATTTTTCGCTGGTGCACGCGCGCGTGTATAAAAAAACAGCGTTGAAACGGCAGTTTTCCTAAGATTTAAATCATTTGCACGCTCATATTTTTTAGTGAACAAAATTGTAAACGTGATTATGCCTTGAATGACAAGGTTAGTCGTGTTTGCACGACCATTTTTTTTCCACACGCGTTTAAATGCTCGAAAAGCAACACTTTCTGATGTTTAAACGCGTGTTTCTGAAATCTTGACTGCTAGGGCATTCTAAATAATTTTGTTTGTGAGGCAGCAACAGTTTTCATTTTCTCAAGAAAGGAACAGGGTAACAAAATTTATAGTAAAAGGGTATCGTGTTGTACAACGTGGTATGAAAAATGATGATGAAAGAGTTTTAATGAATTTGCAACAACAATTAAACACAGATATTATCAGCAAATTAGACGCATTGGTTGAATCGTCACAATCTAAATTACTTGAAATTCATGGACAATTATTGTCCAAAGCGCATGGTGTTAGAGCTGTAGATTTATTAAAGAAAAGAGATTGTGAATTAGTGCAACCAACCTGTGCTCTTGGAAAAAGAGTGAATAATTGGTCGGGTAGTAATACAGCTAAGAATACTTCATTAAAACATGAGGACACACGAGTTAAACAAATGTATGATAAGGGTAAAGAAGAATTTCATCGTATTAATGAAGACATCAAGAGCATTTATAAATCAATTGGAACTGTCGATATTAAGAGTTTGAAAATGATTGATGAATTATGTCGTGCCGCTCAAAGTGGAATAGAATCGATGGTATCGGCTTGTGGAAGAATGCGAGCTTATTTAAAAGCGATCGATGTTGATCAAGACTTTTTGGTTAATTCTGTATTAGATGCGGCACGATCGATGAATATCGCTGATGGATATATGGATACAACGAGAATTCACCATATTAAACAAGTTTTAGGATTAGAATAACATTCATGTGATGATTCAGTTACACAACCAAGATTTTTAAGAAGGTGGAACCAAATTCATATCTATGTCAATTTTCAATGAGATTTTTCTTATTATAGTGAATGTTTTAGAATTTATTGTCATTCATTTTTCTCCTTATCTTGAAAATAAGACACAATAACAGTAATAAATAAATATCTTAATGAATTTTCAAAAAAACAGACTGATCTTTTTGTTTTCTATTTTGTTCAGTTTTTGGAAACTCATAAATTTGATGATTGAAGTATATAATCGGATATCATCTTAGGGGTATGGATGGGTGTGGATGAAAAATACACTTATATCAGTACTCACATCTATTCTCAAGATAGTTCGATATGATGAAGATTTCTGAAAAATCTACGAATGTCTCTTAACAAATGAAATGAAGGTTTTTCATTTTTTTCACGGTTATCAAAACGATTGATTGTCAATCTTTTTATAGAGTAAAAAGAAACTTTCTTCAACGTTTTCTTTCAAATGCAAATGGAACTTTATTTCTTTTTTTCTTCACAAAAAACAAATGTTTTTTTCATGTCTTTGATTAGGTTTTCATTCAAAAATTAAATCAAATTTTTGAATTCGATGATTATCCCACTCACTAACATAAAGATTTCCTTCGATATCAAATGATAAATCCATTGGATTACTCAATTGATTTGGACCTAGTCCTTGTCCATTTTCACCAACAACAATTTCACCTTCTTTCCTTTCCTGATTCCAGCGCATTATTCGGTGATTCTCCCTATCTACCACATAGATTTGACCAAAATCGTCAACAAATAATCCTTCAGGGCGATTCAATTGATTTAGTTTTGCTCCTTTTCCATTTCCACCAGCGATAATAATTCCTTCTTTTGCGTCTTTCAACCATTTCATTACAAAGTGATTCGCGTGATCTGAAACATAAATTGATTGTTCATCATCAACAAAGATAAAATAAGGTGCATCCAATTGATTGAGCTGATTTCCTGGCCCATTTCCACCAGCAACTATTGTTTCTTTTTCATTTTCTCCAATTTTCCATCTTCTCACTTCACCTTTCTCTAAATCTGAAGCATAAATATATCCATATTTATCTATTGCTATAGAAGGACATGAAATATTCTCAATGAGAATTTCTTGTTGAGTTCCATTAAACCATCGAACTACTCGTCTGTTGTGTTTATCAGTAATAATTAATGAATTATTTTCTTCATCAATAACCACATCCGTTGGCAAATTCAACTGGCCGATTTTGTTTCCATGTTCATATTCACCAGCAACAATTTCTCCTTCATTTGTATTTGGTTTCCATTTCATAATACGATGATTTCCCATATCAGCAATAAAAATATTTTTGTTTTTATCAATAAAAATTCCACGAGGATCATGGAGTTGACTTAATCCATATCCTCTCCCATTTCCTCCCGCAACGGTCTTTCCCTCTTGTTTCCATTTGTTCCATTTTATTTCTAAAATAAAGTAAAAGCAGAAATAAGAAGTATTTACATTTTCAATTTGCCAGAAGGTATTGATGGACAAATCGTGTCATTTATCATTGATAATGGATAACAGACGGGATGATTATTACATCGAGAATGATGAATACAAATATGATCTCGATCAGAACATTCTTGTGATGAACCACATTGTGTAAGTTGAGAACATGTTTTCCAAAGAAAACCACAAACCCCAACATTATCATTGCCTACCATCGGAAAACACCCACAAACATTATTAGTTGAACATCGACTGTATGGAATTGCATTATCACATATTTTCGAATTTATTTCAACTATTTTTAAATACAATTATATCATAGATAAATATAGAAGGTAAAATCAAAAACAAACCTAAGAAGCTAAAATAAAATTTAAATAAATAGGAGAATTGAGACAAAGAAATTTTCAATGCTTCAGAAGCACCAAAAAGAAAAAACTTATTACACTTTTTATCTTCATTGTAAATTGAATTTGAATGGAAAATAGTATTTATTTTTGAAGAATACTATCTTTGGTTCTTGGTTATATATATTTATTATTTGCAGTGATATAATATTTTGACAATTGAAAATTTAATTTTGTTTCAATATATTTTAATATGTTTAATCTTTGAAAATATTAAAAAAAACGAGAAAAATATTGCCAAGTTTTCAAGAGCGATATAAATGAAGAGAAGAATGTATTACTTTTATCATATATATACAAGAATACTCACACGTTATAGAATGAGTTTAAAAACTTTTCCATGGTTTGTTCACTGTAGAATGTAGGTGATAGAGGCATACTTTCACCCATCCCACACTCTTCAATATGTTTTATTCTCACCGTTGAATTTATAATCCATGTAATTATTGTAAGGAAACTGGAGGTTAAATGTTTGATTATATAGGTAACTTGAAATAACAATATTAAGTATTATAATAAATAAAATAATAATTAGTTATTGAAACATTTATTTCAATTATTTCACAATAATAAATTGTTTTTGAACATGACTTTTTTTCAACAAAATAATTTACTCTTATTGATCAATGTTAATGTATATTGTGTTTGTGATAAACTTATACTAATTAAATTATCTATTAAAATACAAAAATATGTTAAATAATATTTTTCAATTAATTTAATCTGTTATATTCATTGGAAATAAATTTATATATCCAAGTTCTATAATATTGATTGAAAATGTTTCGAATTTTGTCTTTTCAAAAGTATGAATAATCAAATGATATTTTTTCATACTTTCTATAAGAGATATTTAATATAGAATACTAAATTTCTCATTAAATGTTGGTTTATTTTCGAAAAAAAAACACGAAATCCTTCATTATATGTATAACAAAAATAAATAACAGAAGAGCAAGTAAAGAAGGGTGTTTTATTTATTTCATCCAGATATATTTTTTAATTATTGTGTTAACATGTGCATGATCGAATCATATTGTCACTCGTCAAATTATGTATATCGTTAATTACCTTTTGCCTTAGTATCGGTAAAAAACAAGTTGTCACGCTTCAACGGTCACTACAAAGAAGAAAATATAAAATAATATGTATCTCAATGTGTTACATATCTATTCGTATTTCGTTTAGTTTCTAATTTGGTATATTCGCTAACGCACCTTTACTTTCAATCAACATTATTTATATTTCATCTGTACGTATATTCATTTCGTTTACGAATATTCATACCTATACCCTCACTCTCACCTAAATTATTATTTTTGTTTAGATTGAAATGACTTCTATTGAGCATCAATTAAATACTGATCAAAACGATAATTTCAATTTGAAAATCGTTACACAAAATTTAACAACAGCCAATAATTATACGATTAATAAGAAAATAGAACCTACAAAGCACTGGACTTCAAGTTTCTCTCTATTATGTTCATTTTATTCGATTCGACGTTTATTCAATGGTGTTGTTGCATCATCGATATATTTATTTATTGTGATGTTCATCAGTATTTTAATCGTCTGCTATACAGCACCAAAGCCACAGAGTATGTTCTTCTAACGTAGTTAATATTAATATAACGAAAAACTCATCAACATTATCTAGAATTGATTATATTTTTTCTATTATCTTTTTAGGTAAAACATGTCAATTGAACTTCTATCGAACAAATAAAAATCCAATTGAATATCAATATGGTTCACGATCTATTTCTATCGGTGATTTTGATAATGATACTTATATGGATATGGTTATTGCTAATTCAATTATTAATGGTATATCTATTTATCGTGGATCAATTAATGTCACTTTTTCAAAACAAATTCAATATTCTACTGGTTCTAATTGTGCACCAAACATGGTCATTGTTGATGATATTAATAATGATTATCGATTAGATATATTAGTAGCAAATATTGGTACAAATAATGTAGGAATATTTTTAGGATTTGGTGCTGTATAGCAGACGATTAAAATACTGATGAACATCACAATAAATA